CCCTTGCCGCCCCCGCGCTTGGTCTAGCAGGAAGGCGGGGGGGCTTCGGCAGGCAGCTCCCTGTGCTCTGTTGGCAAGGAGCGCCGGGCAGTGCAGGCCCGGCCTTCCCTGGGGTTTCTCTCTTGCTGGACTTTTCGAGGGGAGAAAGGGGTATTACCTACCTCAGGGGCTGGCTGGCGCACAGTGTTTTCACTGCCATGTGCTCGTGCCCCAGGGCTCCTCCCATGCAAGTGAAGACCCCTGTAACCGCAGGCAGCTCCCTGTGCTCTGTTGGCAAGGAGCGCCGGGCAGTGCAGGCCCGGCCTTCCCTGGGGTTTCTCTCTTGCTGGACTTTTCGAGGGGAGAAAGGGGTATTACCTACCTCAGGGGCTGGCTGGCGCACAGTGTTTTCACTGCCATGTGCTCGTGCCCCAGGGCTCCTCCCATGCAAGTGAAGACCCCTGTAACCGTTGCACAGCTTGATACATCTCAGGCCAGCAGGAAAATCTTCCTCTCGGGCGGCCAGAATTACACTCACTTCCATCCAGTAACCACTACTTCCCCCTCTTATAGTACCCGATATCCTCCAACCCCCTTTAGGCTTACACCTTTCTCATGCTTCCTTAGGTTGTGCACCTCTATCTTGTCCGCGTTTAAGCCAAATTATCATTTTTTAAAGAAAAACAAGTTTTCAGCATAAATTGTTCATATTTTAATGTGAATGTCAGTTGCAGAACATAAAGATCACAAAGTTCTATGTAAATTCTTCAGCCCTAACAGTAAAAATCAGACATGCATTGCTTCTTTGTAAATTCATCTTACTTTTACCCTTTCATTATGATATAGTTCTACCTCTGAAGAGCTAATCAACTAAAGTGCAAGGAGTCCAGCTTTATTCTCTTTTAAAATATTAAGAATTTCAGAAAGTCTTTACTGATTTTATAGCTATAAAACAATTATAAATAGAATAGTGATAATTTACAAAGTATTAGAAGAAATATGATTGGGTGTCCATATATGCATGTTCTTTCCCTCTCATTGTGCTTTCAAAAAATTGTAAATTGCATCTTGTTTTCTGTAATTTTAAACTTTCTATCTAAGTATCAGCTAGAGATGGAGTGTAACCATTTAACCAATAAGCTGGTGCTTATTGGTTAATGGCATCGGTTACACTCAGCTTCCGGGGAGGAAGCTCACTGCAGCAGGGCAGTGAAGTCTTCTCCTCAGGAGCCAGATAGGTAAGAACTGGTAGTCTGACTCCTGGGCAGGCTTCGTTGAAGACTCTGCAGTATAAAGCTTGTGTAACCATTAAGATTTTAGCGGTTACATGGTTACCATATTACATGATTTTTACTATCCCAAGTATCAGCTTCATTTAAACTAAGATGGTATTTAAGACTGACTTGATATTTTATTCTTCTTTACGTACAGTTTTGGGACCCATTAAGATAACGTTTCTTATTCTGCTTTCAGCTGGGATGTAACCTTATCTGTTGGACTCACGTAATCAGTTTCTGGACTGAAGGTAAAGTCTGCCAATGACCTGCTGTTGCAGTTCACAGTTCTATCAAATTTCTTGAATTATTTCCAGTAGTGATGATTATTCAAATCTTTTTAAAATATAAAAAAATACTAAGTAGGAGAATTATGGTAGGGATTAATGACCCACAAAAGAGATCCATTACCTTCTAGAATATTTGAGCAATACTTGAGGTACCTTTCCTCTCCCTGCCATGTGTCACTTGCATATTCCTTTGAAACATTGGCACATCACATGTGAGTTACTGCTTTCCATTGCAGGCACCATGAGACTTAAATTGTGCTGGGTTAAAATGGAATGGAGTCAGAAGAATGAGTATAAACATATTGTGTGGTTAGAGTGGTTAAGTCAATTTTAAAATGGACTTTTTGTTTAAAAGTTGGGTTTTAAGTTACAGTTTGTTTTAGAAAAATAAATGTGAATACAATTACATTTGAAATCGATAGCCTGTGTTAAGGTCTAGACTTGCTACAGTCTATTAAAAATATTAAGTAGTAGATATTGGGATGTGAATGGTTAACCAGTAAGCCTCACCCTTAATGAGTGAGGCTTACTGGCTCCAGGTAACTGGTGGGAACTGGAGCAGCTTCCCACCCACTGTGGGCAGGGGGTTGCTACAGTCCCTCAGGTCCCGCTGGCCCAGGCATGCAGGACACGGGCTGCACGGGCTGTTCCAGACAGCTGGAGTACCCCGTCCGCAGCGTGTGGGTGCACCCCACTTGTTTCCCCTTTAAACACTATATTTAACTGGTTAACTAATTAAATGTGATTTTACATCCCTAAAATATATATTTGCTGCCAAATTTTAAAGAAAGTCAAACAACTGGTGGAAGACATCAGCTAAGCATCTGGAATCAGATCTTAAAGTGCTAAACCAGGTTTTAACAGCAATGGCTTCTTCTGCAGATGCAGAGACAATATCTTCTTCATTTAAGTAGTTCAGGTCAATGACTAGTTAATTCAGATTTAAGAAATCAAATGGGAGTTGGGGTGGGGGAAGCTGGAATATTTGGTTTTCCTCTTCCAATCCAATGGTAGGGATAATAAACAAGACGCTTGCCAGTATACTTACCAGTTAACTGGCTTTTTCCTGTCAGCACTGGCGGTGGCCAGTCGTACCAGGTCAAAACAGCCCTGACTGCACAGGGGATAGCAGGCAGGTGGTGGGATCTCATAGCTATGGCAGCCCAGGTGGCAAGCCCTAAGTTAAGTAGCTAACCAGATGAGTTAACTGTTTTAACATCCCTAATCTATGGGCCTGTTCAGCAGTGTAGTGATCAATCCAGCAGGGGGCGATTTATCATGTCTCGTTTAGACACAATAAATGATCACCAATCACTGTCCCTTCCACTCCAGTACTTCGTCAGAACAAGAAGAGTAAGGGGAGTCAACAGGAAAGTTTTTGTTGATCCAGCATGGTGTGGACACTGTGACAAGTAGAGCTAAGCTACGTTGACTTACTAACTTAACTCAAATTGCATAGCTTAAATCGACTTGTCCTCGAAGTGTAGACCTGCCCTGTGAATAATCACTATGTGGGAAGATGACATCTTTTAGGTCTAAAAATTTTGTACAATCACTGAAGTTCGCTAATGAGAGAGATTTTCTTTGTTTAATAAATCAATTTTAAGTGCAAGATATATTTGTATCCAAGACAGTTAAGATAGTTGTATTTAATAAGAAAATTGTCATTTGTGACTATTTAACAGAATTTGCATTTCCATCCAAACAGGTCTTTATAGAAGAAAGTAAAAAAATTCTAACAATGTAAAAATTAAGAATCTGAATCCTTATAAGTTATACAATTGCTATGTGTGTATTTGTAGTGCATTTTTCTGCTTAGCAAAACAAAACCCCCACCAAATTTAGTATAAAGGCTATATTTGATTGCAAATCAATATTCTTTATTCCCAATCAATGAGAATCAACTTCTCTTGAAAATAGCAGAAGTACAAATAATAAATTAATCACTGTTTCCTGTTTGGCGAATTAAAGTCATAATTAAAATCAGTAATTTAAATGGTTTTGATTTAAAATCACTCCCATCCTGTGTCTGGTTCAGTATTCTTTCAAAATTAGTCCAATTTCAGATTTGTTCAGTTCACATTCCAATAAGTTATTTTTTCTAAACACCAACTCTGTAGACTATGGCTATGTCTAGACTGCAGCGCTTTTCCGGGATAATTATGGAAAAGAGGACGCGCTCTTTCACCATTCCTGTAAACCTCGTTCTATGACACAGAAGGTATGTGTCGAAACAGCAGGTTTTTCCGAAATTTGGCACCATGTAGATGCGCCAAATTTCATGAAAGCCTCTTTTGAAAGAACATTGGAAAAAGATACACAATTTGCGTACTGCAAATTGCCTATCTTTTTCTGATTTAACTCTGCAGTCTAGAAGTAGCCTTAGTGTGTGAGAAAACAGAGCACAAAAAAGAAGTTTGTTTTTAAAGCTTGTATATAAATCAGCACATAAATCATAAATTTCCACAGTTGAAATTTATCTGACAGTTTTCCTGATATGAGGAAATTGCTTATTTGTAATTACAGTAGCTTTGAAATGCATATTATAGTAAGTTTCCTTTTATTAATAAAGTAAAAGGAGTATGACTTAAAAGTAAGGAACAGATGCTTTGAATAAGGCCCATCTCTACATAATCACTTTGAGGTTTTCAGAAGCACTGACTATAGCCTAACTCTGCTTCCCCTGTTATCAGTGTCAAAAACTGATAACTTCAAGTGGGAGCAGGGCTAGGCCAGTGTTAGTGCTTTTGAAAAAAGTTCAAAACTTAACTCTAAATAGCATCTCTTGAATGTTCAAGCTTCATTGTGTTTCTTAATTTATTTGGTCATGTTTGTGTTTCAAACTGGGAACACTCCTGTTATGGATGGGAAAAGGAAGGTTGGTAAGTAAAGACCAAAGTAAAGGGACAGATTGTGCCTTGATTATCCACAAATAACTTTGGACTTTTCTGCACATGGGTTTTCTCCTATTTATCAGGATTTTCTACCGTATCTTACCTTTGGATACACCGGAGAGCCCTTAGATGATTGTGGATCCACTTTAGGGGTAGAAAGCTGTTAGGCTAGCTCCCCATTCCAGGCTATACAGAATAAATGCATCCTGAGCAGTTTGGGAGATCTGCACACAAACTAGTGTAGTTGTAAAAGCTGCCCTTCCTCCCTCAATGTAAAATGTGTTACCTGTATGTCGAACAGAATAAGGAAATGTCAAGGGTGTTTAAGGACATTTCACAGAGAGATAATTTAATATCCCAACCAGTCTGCTTGGGGATGGTATTTCAGGATGGGACCCTCTTTTCCGTATCTAATCACTGGTTAGAGTGTTTGTGGCGCGTTGAAATGAAAATTTGAGTCTGGGTTTTAAACTGATAACCTTAAGACTATATTATGCAAAGTTAAATGTACAAGCAATACCTCCATTTAACATCGGGGGCAGTCCCCGTTTACACTACAAATAGACCAGAAGGGGAAGTCCCTTAAGGTTCCTATACCTACGACAGAGTCTTTCGACAATGGACGGTTGGAGCTGGCGACCTACTAGCCTCTGGCTGATTTAGAGCCTCGGGCGAGGAACAGCCAGGTGATCCCTCGTCGCTGGAGTTGGGTTCGACGACAGACGATTCGCCTTGCGCTGAATCTCTGCTCGTTGGCTTCCCTTCTTGTGCTTCGGTAGCGACTGGAACAGACGATGGACGACTCTGTGCCCTACCTATCCTTATTGCTATCCTAAAAATAAACCCCTACACTAATCTCGACACGCCCGACGTACAGACTCGATGATGGCCGACATGCGTTGACCGACGCGACCTGACGTACAGACATGATGACGAGATCTACCTATCTAATACTACCTAACTAACTAAATAACCTAAGTAGGAGAACTGACCTTCCATCAGATCCCTAAAGGAAAAGGTAACTAGAGTACCATTTAGAAACTATACACAACCTCTTTCGCTCCAATCTAAGCCTATTCCTAAGACCCGATGGACAAGCGACACCCTGATCCCGGGTTAAGCCCGATGACCAGAACGAACCATCATTCGATCAGAACCTTTATAGCTTGATCTCATGCATATTCATCACCTTGGTAGTTCAAACTGATTGGATATTACAAGGATGCACTTTACACATGATTCAAAGTTATTGGCTGGTAGGAATGCTATTGAATATTCATGGATTATGCAAATGTCAACTGGCAGGTGAATGATGTTTTAAATCTCAACAGTCACCTGCGGACGTGACAGAACCTATGGCTGATATGGATGATATCAGAAGCTTCTAAATCCAAGATGGAGTTCCAGACTCCATCTTGAAATATGGCAAATCTTGGCATATTCTAAACATACAGACATTTATGATAAAAGTTCATATTGACAAATATATTATACAGTCCCTTTGCACTGTTTACATATTTTACAGGGTGATATACATCAGACCTTTGCATTTACATTCAAATAGATCTTCATTTTGACATTTCTGCCTTACAGATGTCAAAGAAAATTTCATGGAGGGAAACCTCATGAAGTCTTTTGGGTACTATACAGGTTCGAGATTTGGACTGACATTTTTAAGGGAGGCCCAACAAACATTCTATAGGGAAATTATGTACATCAGATTGCCACTCAGTGGCCTGTTTTCCAGTGTGAAATAAGTTGGAACTCTCCCAGTTCTCATATGTTGGCAGTATGAGGCACTTGCAGTTGGATAAGAATCTCTCCCCTTCCTCTCTCTACTTCCAGTCTGAATTTGTCTCGCTCCAACTTCCAGCCATTGGATCATGTTATACCTGTCTCTGCTTGACTGAGGAGCCCATTATTAAATATATTTCCTGTGTAGCAGGGTGGATTTGATTTAAATTAAATTGATTTAACTCATGCTTGAAATCACTAGTTAGGAAGACTTGATTTAATCATAGTTTTCTACAGAAAAGTGCATTCTTGGTTGTCATAATTAGAGATGTA